GTCTGGAATGGGGACACTTCTCATTTCAAAGATAAGAGAGGAATACCCAGACAGGATGATGCTGACATTCTCTGTTTTCCCATCTCCAAAGGTCTCGGACACTGTTGTAGAGCCTTACAATGCAACCTTGTCTGTTCATCAGCTTGTGGAGAATGCAGATGAGTGCATGGTTCTTGATAATGAGGCACTCTATGACATTTGTTTCCGTACCCTCAAACTTACAACTCCTAGCTGTAAGTATCCTTGATTCATACGAATGACATCTGTTGTAATATCCTTGGGGTCTATTTCAACTTGAGACATGATGATAGAGTCTTCACTGTGTTTTAGGGTGTCTGGTTTTGAAACTAATTTTCTCATTAGGCCCAATAGCCTCCCCAGAATTGTGACCATTTTTATTTATATTTTTGGTCTTACTTTCTAAAATCTAACACCCAATCAATCTTTCATGTATTGAGAATACTGAATGCTGAATACCTGTTATCTCAATAACTAAACTATTTATAAACTAACTGGGAAACCATGGCCATCCTTGAGATGGAAATAAAACATTGTGATTCATCAACTGGTTATTCTTATATATTTTTCCCTTTAATTTGCATCCATAACTAAATTTTATGTAGTGTATTTGCTTAGCCAACCCCAACTCATTTGGGATTGAGACATGGTTGGTTGGTTGTGTTTGCTTAGCAACAATTATGACCAGTTAATATGCTTTATGCTGAGGATCATTTGTTCTGCAGCTACTTTGAAAATTTTCCCTTACCTGATGGTGCTTTAATATTCTAACAGTTGGTGATCTGAATCACTTAATATCTGCAACCATGTCTGGAGTTACTTGTTGCCTCAGATTCCCTGGCCAGCTTAACTCTGATCTGCGGAAACTTGCTGTGAATCTCATTCCTTTCCCCCGTCTTCACTTTTTCATGGTTGGGTTTGCTCCACTTACCTCACGTGGTTCACAACAATACCGAGCTTTATCTGTCCCTGAGCTTACTCAGCAAATGTGGGATGCAAAGAACATGATGTGT